AAATACCTATGAGCTCCTCTTCTTCCATTTTGTAACTCAGCCTAAAAGACAACTTTCACTTAGGTCAACCATTAACTCCCTTGTGGTCTTCGTCAACTCATTCTCCTACTCTTTAATGTAACACATTTACAACCTCTCCTCTCAAAGGAGAGTTTTCATCTCTCATCACCAAATCCACCAACCCACTTGCATCTGAACCCTCTCCTCTGCCTTCCCTCTTAGTACACTGGATGAGCAGTCCAGGCTCCTACGTAAGGCCCATCCCTCCACTTGTGCTCTGCTCAAGGACTTTACTTTTGCATCACAAATTTTTTCATTCTCTACCGAATCATTCCCACCATATACAAATACTCTACATTGTAATTTCTCCCATCTAAACAAATACCTCCTGGTCACCCCCTAATTATTGCCCTATTTCTTTGTCTCCTCATAGAAAAACTCCTCAAAAGAATTGCCTATACATTCTCTACTTCCCATTATTTCCTAAACCCACTCAGTAGATTGTAAAATTCCACCAAAACTACTCTTCCCAAAGTACCAATGACTTTGTCTTTTCAAATTTAGGAGTCAACTCCCAGTCTTCATTCTACTTGGCCTTTCAGACATCTGACATGAGCACTTCCTGCTTATTGAAACACTTTCTTCTCTTGGTTTCTAGGACGCCTCACTCTCCCAGTTTTCCTCCTATCTCACTGTCCACTTCTTCTCAGTCTCCTTTGCTGGCTTACCTCCTCCTTCCAACTCCCAAATATGGGAGTATCCCAACATTCATTCATTCCTCAGCACTCTTTTTTTTTTTCTCCATATATACTCACTCCTAGGAGATCTCATCTAGTCCCATGGCTTTAAATATTATCCATATACTGATGATCCCAAGTTTACATCATCCTTGACCTTTCCCTTAAACTTAAGTTTTGAATCTAGTTGTCTTCTCCACATCTCCCTTTATATAGCTAATAAACACCTCAAAAGTTAACATGGCCAAAGCAGAAATCTATTCTCCTTAAGTCTTCTTCATCTACATAAATGACACTACCATTCACTCAAATATCTAAAATTCATTATTGACTCCTCTCTTTTCTTCACACCTACATCAATTCCATCAGCAAATCTTGCTAATTCTTCCATTAAAATATAATCAGAATATGGCCACTCCTTACAATTTCCATTGTTCCCATCCTGTTCCAAGCCGCTGTCATCTTTCATCTGATTTACTACAGTGCACTCCTGTAGTAGAAACCACAGCTAGAGTATATTTTCCAGGATCTCTTGCAGTTAGGTGTGGCCATGTGACTAAATTCTTACCAATGGGATGTGAACAGAAGTGCCACTTCTGCACCAAGGTCTTTGAGAGAGTAGGTGTGCCTCTTCTCTGTGCCTGAACTCTGAACACGGTAGTCAGTCTTGACTTTGCACATGACAAGCTCCTAGGGCATGGTGAAGTCATAAAAATGGAGGGAGCCTGGGTCCCTGAATCAATGCATGGAGGAGAGCATCCCTCTAATTTGGAAATACTTCCTGGACTGTTATTGCAAGTGAGAAATAAATTTCTATTGTGTTTCCACCACAACATATTTGGCTATTTCTTTTAGCAGTTTAGCCTACTTTAATTAATATACCTCCAAAGAGGCTTTGGCTTTTTCTCTTACCTCTATTATATAACACATTCCTCACAAAGTCAGTGATCATATTAAAGCCTGAATCTGGTCATACCATAGTCCTAGCTAGAACTTTCAGTGGCCTTCTATCACACTCACCATGGCCTGCATGGCCCTACACAGCACTGACCTCTGCTTTCCTCACTATATTCGTCTCCTACCTCTGTCCCCCAGCCCACTCCTCTCTAGGATACATTCCATTTCCTGTGCCTGCAACTCTTTCTTCACATCTCTACATGGTTCAATACTTTATACAATTCAGCTCTCCATTAAAATATCCTTTTCTCAGAGAGATCTTTTCTGACAAACCTGTCTGAATCAGTACGCCCTCTCCTTGCCCTAATCACTCTCTATCCTATCACCCCACTTTATTATTCATCATAGTACTTCTCACTTACTGATTATAGCGTATATTTGTTTGCTTGTTTGTTCTGTATCTTCCCCTGCTAGAATGCAAGCTCAGTGACAGCAGAGACTTGCTATGCCTGGTCAGCATGTTCCCCAGTACATAGAACAGTGCTTAGGATAAAGTAAATGTTCCATATACATGGTTAAATGAATGGACAAAACATCCTAGCCCCCAGAGAAGTCTTCATCCTCTCAATATGTTTTCCCTCATCATGTGCTGCCCACTATTATACTTATCTTTTACACCTCCAAACCTTGAGGGCAAGGACTATCTTTTATATCTCTAAACACCAAATCTAGACATTTAGAAGTTTGTGTACAGGAAGTGCTCAATA